TGCAAATGTAAAAACCACACTAAGGGGCTTCCCCGGTGGCACAGTGGTTGAGGGTCCGCCTGCCGATGCAGGGGACACGGGTTCGTGCCCTGGTCCGGGAAGATCCCACATGCCGCGGAGTAGCTGGGCCCGTGAGCCATGGCCGCAGAGCCTGCGCGTCTGGAGCCTGTGCTCCATGATGGGAAAGGCCACACAGTGAGAGGCCCACGTACCACAAAAAAAACCCAAAAAACAAACCACACTAAGATGCCATTTTCATCCATTATATTGTAAAGATTTAAAAGTTATATAACTTACTGAAGCTGTTAGGAAACATGTTGCCGATGGAAGAATAAATTAGTAAAATTTTATGGAGGGCAACTTGGTGATTTTAACAAAATTCAAATGCATATCTTTTGATCCTTGCAGTTCAGTTTTGGAAAAGCTATCCACAGAGGTACGTGAGGGAAACTAGTTATGCCAAGGATATTAGTTTTAATGTTATAATAACAAGAGATTGGAAACAATCTAGTTGTCCTTAATTATCAAATTTTGATAACATTATTATACAGTATTACAATGGACTACTTATTCAGTCATAAAACAGATTAAGAAAGCTCTGTGCACTGATTGGGAAAGAAGTTCAAGATACATTAGATCAGGATTGGTAAACTTTTTCTTAAAGGGCCAGCTAGAAAATATTTTAGATTTTGAAGGCAATGTGGTCTCTGGGGACTGACTATTTAGCTCTCTTGTCATGGGAATGCAACCATAGACAATACGTAAATGACTGGACATGGCTGTGTTCTAATAAAACCTTATTTGCAACTACAGGTGATTGGCTAGTGGGTCATAGTTGCTGACCCCTGTATTAAATGAAAGAAGCGAAGTGATGAACTAGGTATATAAACTATAACAGAGATATGAATGAAGTACTGAAAGCATTGAGAAGTGACTTAAAGCTTTGCCTGGGATATTTGGAAAAAGAAAGACTTTATAGATTCGGTGATAATTTAAGCTCAGTTTCTATAGGCGCTCTAAAGATTAAGGTGAGAAAGTGTTTTCTGAAATGAATGAGAAGTTGTCTTGCTGATATATGGAGTTCTTTATTGGGAGTAGATAAGTAAGTTGGGACCATATTTTTGAAGGGGCTAGACACTAATTCTGATTTCTAACCCATTTTCTAGTTTGAATAAAAAGTGTTTCAATATCCAACTCTATTAAACCTTGACGTTTTGCCATAGTTGCTTCAGATCTCTTTTTTCTGTATTTTTTAAAAGAAACATTACAGGTACACTTGAAACTGCCCTGCAAACCATACAGAGCACATTCTTCTCTCTTTCCAGAGATAACAACTGATATAAATTTGTTACTCTAATCTTACCTTCCTGCATTAGCTACGTGTCTCTATACATGTACATAAACAACACATTGTGTTCTGTGTGTTTTAAAAGATCATATAATGGTTTGTGGTGTCATTTCACAATTGTTTTTTTGCTCAGAATTGTGTTTTTATGATTTCTCTGTATGGACCAGCACTGTTCAACAGAAATACAATGCAAATTGCCTGTGTTACTTTAAGTTTTCTCGTAGTCACGTAAGAAGTGTAAATGGGAACAGGTGAAATTAATAATATACTTTAATAACCCAGCATATCTAAAATATATTAACATATAATCAGTATACAAGATTATTAATGAGATATTTTACATTCCTTTTTTATACTAAGTCTATGAAATCTGGTATTTATTTTATACTTGAAACACATCTCAATTGGAACTAACCACATTTTAAGTATTTAGTAGCCACAAATGAGTTGTGGCTTTTACCATGTGAATTGCTGTCATTCAAATAGAACCCAGCACTTTTGATGCTTGAAAGTTGTGCATACTCCTGTCACCAGGGGTCAGCTAAGTGTCACTCTGCTGACATACCTAGAAAAAGAATTTTGTGTGTTGGAATTTGCTGATTTGCAGCTGCTATGCAAAAATCATTCTGTGTACAATAAAGGAAACTTCTTTCAAGAACAACATTTCCTGCTGGTAAAATAGTTGGATCACAAAGGTTGGTGCAAACATGATCCACGGCCTCTTCAGACACACAGGGGCTCTCTGTCGTCTTCATTCTTGCTTGTCTGGAAAACCATTGAAACTTTTCCCACTATTATCAGAGGTGTTAAATTTGTAGTGAATATACTGCTTCTCCATAGTTGGGCCTTAATAACTATATAAACTTGTTTGCTTGCCAATTTTTTGCCGAGAATCTCAAGCAGGCAACATTTGATTACTGAGGCACATATTAGTCATATGGCTCTATTCCCGGTTTTCTAAGTTTAAAGTCAGTTCACCATTAAGGTCTATACTTAGATTTATATGTCTCTTATTCTCCACAGAGTAGAAATGCCCTTGACTTTATAAGAACTCATACTAGAAAATGCCTTTTAGAGTGCCTTAGTTTTATACACATTGTGTTTAGGGAGACTTTCTTGTATGCTGTTAATATCCCTTATATGAAGACCCAATTGGGGGGAAAAAATTCTAGCTAAGAACAAAGATTTGGGGGAAAATTCTCCCATTCAGTGCTTGATTCTTGATCTTTTTTTCAGTTCTTAGAGAATTTGTTTTAATGTGTCTCCTTTAATATTCCCACTAAAATCCTTTTTTTTTTCTTTCTGTAATACAAATAATTGATAGATCTATAGTAATCTCTACTAACTCTTGATAGATCTATAGTAATCTCTGCTAACTCTTAAAGCTTGATGTATTCTGTATTCCATGGCTTTATGACAGCCTTTTAATAGCGTTTTTATATAGAAACTTTCTGCCACAAGGTAGGGATAAAGAGTTCTATAGACCTGATCAGTTTGGAAGTATTTGGTAATAGCTATCATAAAGTTAACTTTCTTTAAGTGAACAAAATGAATATTAGTACAGTTATTAATACAACTTTCCCTTAAGTTTGGCATGATTTCTAATTTCTGCATGGTAATCTTTTACTCAGATTATGAGCCGTTCAGAAATTGATTGTTAGTGATTGTTTTTATAAAAATTTAAATACTCTATGAATTTACTTCCAGATCCTTTTACTTTCTGTTGCATTACCTTGATTTTTTAAAAAAAATCTAAGCTGAAAACAGCCACTTGTAAAAAAGCTCATGGTTGTTTTTTTTTTTTTTTTTTGCGTTATTCGGGCCTCTCACTGTTGTGGCCCCTCCCATTGCGGAGCACAGGCTCCGGACGCGCAGGCCCAGTGGCCACGGCTCACGGGCCCAGCCGCTCCGCGGCACGCGGCATCCTCCCAGACCGGGGCACGAACCCGTGTCCCCTGCATCGGCGGGCGGACTCCCAACCACTGCGCCACCAGGGAAGCCCCAAAACTCACGATTTTGATTGGGCAAATGGGACCTGGGAAAAGAAAAGAGGTAGTAGTTTTGGAGAGTAAGTGTTTTGGTGGGTCTTGTGGGGAGTAGAAAATGACAGTGGCCGGTCCTTTATACAAGGGCTAGCATAGAGTCCTACAGCTAGGAGTTTTTCAGATTCTAGTATTAAAAATATATATGTTCATGTTAGATAACTGATACAGGTAGGCCTGAACAGAATGAGAGGATGTACCCATTCTCTTTATTAAAAATTAGTGTTCGCACATACAAACATATTGCATATAGTCTGGAATGAAAAGGAAACATTCTATTTTATTTTAGTGAAAACTATTATAAGGCACCTTGGCATTAGTTTGTCCATGTCAAGTATTAAAGAATATCTTACTGATCATATTAAGCCTATTTGTCAGAAATCATTTTTAACAAATTTCAGTTTATGCCTTATTGTATATATAAAATTCAGCAGTAAAACAGACTAAATAGAGACTTTGTTGCGATTTTTATACAAATACATGTTCCATATATAGATATTTAAGATTGAAGGACGCTGGGCAAATTCCCTTGTTACTGTTTTTGTAGACTGAATTTTCAGAAGCCCCATAGTTCTGTTTGTTTCTTTTCATTTCAAAGTGGGAAATGCTAAAGGTTATCATATGGGCTACTAGTAAAAAGTCCTGTTGCCATTTGGAGCACATCAGACTTGAAGCCCATACAGTAAAGATAAAAAAGAATTGTTCATGGGAGCAGACTTGGAAATTGGATTTGACTTATGAGCTAAATTTGGGGAATACAGACAATAATGAAATTCCTTTTTAATTGACACAATGACAGCTGATTATACACATTTTTCTCTGGTTTTTCACAAGAACACATTTTAGTTTCCTTAGGCTTATGTTGATTTGCCAGAAGTACTGAGAAAAGTCTTTGCTTTGCTAAGGCTTTTCAGTGGTCTGAAAATAGAATGACAGATGTTACAGTAAAGGAAATTTGTGACGGTAGAGTGATGCTAATAAGTGGAGAACAGTTTGATTGTGAACCTCTGGTTTGGTGTGATATGTTTGCCATCATATATGCTCAATTAGAAGGCAGTTCCCCATTTTCCCCATGAGAATATCCCAGCTCCAGCTTCTTTTGCCAATTGAAATATATAAGATTTTAAGGAGAGACCTGACACATTAAAATCTGCTTGTACTTAATTTGGTTACATAAACCATTGTATTACATATAGAATTCAGAAATAAAGTTATGTCTTGTTTTACTGTCTTATATGCTAAAATAATTTTGTTCAGTCTCTTTGTATGTATAGGGATCCTTTTGGAATAATTTGTCTTCCCAGATAGGTGATAGCTACTAGGAATATGAGTGTCTTCATAAGTCTTGGATATAAGGCGACTCCTTTTTCTTCTTAAAAATAATACTTTGGGGATAAAACCCTAAAACAGCAACTGAACATTTGATAATTCTTTATATCCTTATTTCTCACTGATATTTAGAAGTATTTCTCAAATGTAAGAAGTCAGAGTCTTGAGTGAGCTTATTCTTACTAAATACCTTAAGTTTTTAGTTGTTAATATGGATTTTGTCTATTCTTTTTTCCCCTTTTCTTTGAGGGGTTGGACATAATTGCCTTATTTCATTTCAGGGATCCTTCTAAAGTAAATATTCTGGTACCTGGTGCTGGACTAGGAAGACTGGCCTGGGAAATAGCTATGCTAGGTTATGCTTGTCAAGGAAATGAATGGAGTTTTTTTATGCTCTTTTCTTCCAACTTTGTACTCAACAGGTATTTAATTTACTTTTTGCTGGAAATAGTAATTTCTCAGAATCAGATTGACTTACCTATTTTTGCAGAATTCTGAATTTGAAGATAAGTACGTAGTGTTTAAATATGGTATATATCATAAATGTTTCTGATTAAAATTAAATTGCTTATACAATTACTACTTTAATTAGTTGCCTAGTTAACAGAATGTTGAACGGGATGGGTAAGTGATATTTTAAAAAGTGATTGGGTACTCCATGAAACTGAAATGATTTCTCTGCAGAATTTTGGGCTAAGTATTGTCCTGGAAGGAGTATTTTCTTATTGTTCCTTAAACTTATTCACCCCTTTGTTTCTTTAGTGGAGTAAGATTATAATGTAGCAATCATAATTTTTTTCTTAGTCAAATTCTTATAAATGGCTCACATATCTGAGTTGGAAAGATCTCGCAGAACTTCTGTGGCCTCATTTAGAAAGTAGTGGAAAAGAGTTTTTAAAGCTAGAAGAGGTGTGTTAGAGAAAAAATAAATAGCTGCCTTGTTTAAGTAATGTGTTGTCTTGGTAGCAGTGTGAGTTAGGGGATAGTGAGAAGGTAGAAAGGAGAGTGTTGTACAAAATAATTAAAATAATTAGGTAACAAACAAAACCCATACCTTTTTTGAAAAAAAAATACTTAGACTTTTTTACTTGAGCTTGAGTTTCAGTGATATATTTTTTAAAATTTGAATGAAAATAGCACATTTATATATCTGAATTTACCTTAATTTTGTTTCTGTGTTTTAATCCATGATTGGTTACTGCTCATCTACATGCCTATGTGGAGTTTCAGATAATTGGGTGGAGTGTAGTGGTAACACTTTTAAGTATTAATTATATAAGTAAATCTTCAGTCAAACAGATTATATTTTAGTGTTTAAAGTAGATTTCTCTGGTAAAATATTTAGTTAACACTGAATTTTATGCTCATATTTTGCAGATGTTCTGAAATTAATAAATATAAGCTTTATCCCTGGATTCATCAGTTTAGCAATAACCGGAGGTCAGCTGATCAGATTCGACCCATCTTTTTCCCTGATGTTGACCCCCACAGTCTTCCTCCCGGTTCTAACTTTTCTATGACAGCAGGAGATTTTCAGGAGATATACTCAGAATGCAGTAAGTCCAAAGATCACATGCTTTATTCTAAATTTAGTGAGCTAATTTTATACTAAGCCAACGTTGTGGTCATTCATTTTGACGATAGAATATAAGGTATACTTCAACGACAATTTAGAATATTTTCAAAGTTATGTATAAGGCAGTGATGGGAAATATAAAGAAATATGAGATCCCACAATTAAGAAATTTAGAATCTGTTGGGTCTATTAATATAAGACAACATGTAAACAAAGGTTGAGTAATGAATACAATAAAGATGGAAGTAGGTTAGTGTGAGAAGTGAGCTCTTTGTGGAGAGGCTGTGACTTGAAGGATAGGGGGGAATGGCATTCAGAGGTACAAAGGTATGAATGAGTAAGGTAATCGGGGATGGTAGAATAGCCTTACTGGAAGGAAAAAGGACATTTGGGGATTTAATGGGAGATACGGCTAGAGAAGTAGCTTGGTTCCAGATTGTAGATGACCTTTATAATCGGGCTATGAAGTTTGGACTTCAGCCTGGCAAAATGTTGAAGAAATCTGAGCTAGGCATTAGAGAAAGGGAGATGATAATGGGGAAAGAGGAGAGAGGGATTGGCAATAAAAGGAAGAAGAAAAATAGAAGGCTGAGGGGTCAGCAAGTTCATTCATTAAACAGGTATTTGTTGAGTACCTGCTAAGTAGCAGGCATTGCAAACAGAGCAGTGAGCAAAATGAAGCCCCTGTGCACAGGGAACCCATATTCTAGTTCGGAGAGAGAGGCGATAACAAATTAATACTGTGAGGAAGAAAAAATAAGGCAGGGTAAAGGGGATAATGAGAGACTGGGGAGAGACTGCTGGTTTATATAGAATTCCCAGGGAAGGTCTTTCTAAAAGGGGAACTTAAGAAGAAAGATTGAGCAGAGAACCTCAAAGGAATGAAGAAGCAAGCCATTCAGATATGTGGGGGAAAGTGTTGCAGGGGGAATGGCAAAGGAAAGAAGATTAGGGGGTGGGAAGGACGCTTGTTCTGCTCAAGAAGAGTAAGAGGGTCAGTTTGGCTGGGCTGTGATAAGCAGTGGGCAAATGATGGGAGATGAGGTTGGAGTGGGTTTGGTGAGGCTGACTCTTGGCCACAGCGAAGACTTTGTGTTCTGAGAGAAATGGGAGGCCTTGGAGAGATTAGAGCGGGAGAGGAACAAGATAGTAAAGTTTTTGTTTGTTTTTCCCTGAACGCTGACCTTGTGAAAACCTGCACTCTGAAGGTAGAAGGAGGGAGACAGAAGGTGTTAGGTGCTGGGGGTAAGTTAGGGAGCAGGGTCTCAAAATAGGAGTGAAATAATGGAAAACATTGCTTTGTCAAGTAAAAGTGACTTTCTTCTGGAGCAGGTTTGAAAGAGGAGATGGTGAAGGTAATCCGCAGTTGGATCAAGTGCCTTATTTGTACAGACAGCCACCTTCATTGCAGTCTCTTCTGTCTCTGTGCCAGGCCACAGCCTCCAGAAGGCAGAGTTCTCTGCTGGGTTCCCACCCACTGCTGCTGACTGCCCCCATCCCCCTTTTCAACTGGCAGTTCTCCCAAGTACTGGTGGATGCTTCTGTATTTTGATGCCATTCGTTTCTCAATTGGCAGCAGATGCATGCAGTCTTTTTGAAACCTTCCGGAATTGGTAGCTAACACTGGTTTAAATCACAACTTAAAATTCAAATATTATTTCATCTTAACTGATTTTAAATGAAGGCTAGAAGTTGAAAAGATTATAAACAAAACTCTTATAAATATTATTTGGTAAGGATATAGTGATATAGGTTATCAAAAATGATTTCCAAATTGATTAACTTATCAAATTAGTAATAAAAGCTTTTATGAATTACAAAGTATCTCATAAATGATTATTTGGTAGCCTTGATTATAGCAGTTGATTGGAAGAGTTTTAACTTCTATACCTCTGCAGTTAAATGAAATATTCATAGTCTGTGAAGAGGTAACTGGTACCTTTATAGAAGTCATTAAAAGAAAGGCAAAATAATATAACATGTAGTAATTTGATTTTCCTTGAATAGGTACCTGGGACTGTATTGCTACCTGTTTCTTCATAGACACAGCTCACAATGTAATTGATTATATTGACACAATATGGAAAATACTCAAACCAGGTGGAATTTGGATAAATCTAGGTAAGTTCCTCAGTATTTATTAGAATTTACACATTAATCTGAGTACTTAGAGCTGTTCTGCATTTGGTAACTTCACAGTACTAAATGTTCACGGAAGTTGTAATTATGTCATACATGTTTTAAAACCTCCGCAGTTTCCTTTAGACTGCATTCTAGTTAGTGGTACAGTTCCTCCAATCATAGCTAGTTCCTCCAAAAGCAGTAGAACCCCCAAAATTTGTATATTCATACTAGGTCAGTCTCACAGCAGTCATAATTTCAAAGAGGTACTAACTATTAACTTGATTATAATTGTTCCCTCATCTTCCCCACCCTCATTCCATGGAGACAGCACTTCCTTTAAGAAGGAAGTGTTCTTTTTTTATTTCTGTAGTGAAATATTTGAGGGAAAGCACTTAATCTCTCCCATGGAAGCCTCCTCCCCAGTACATATACATACTAGGAAAAGAGTAGGTATGATAACTTTTGTGACTACCTTGAGTTTAAGAAAGGGTAGAAATATAATTTAATTTATGCAAAAACCTTTTTACTGCATCCTATTGCCACGTGCTAGAAATCAAATAATGAGTATGACGTGGTCCTTCCCATCCAGAGTCTAAGGGAAATTGCTAATTTTATACTCTTCCTTTAAAATAAAGGGAGAATAATGATAATCAATGTAAATATACTTGTCTTTTTTAGTAAGATATATAATCCATACTAAGGAAGACTTTATATTACATAAAAGTCAGATAAACATTGTTTGAGTCCTTGGTGTCTTCAGTATTGGTGTAGTTTTGTTGGTGGGTTCTGTTACGTGCTCTCTTTAATGATTTGACTTTACCAGAGATTTAGCCAGTAGGACTAAGCCTACAGGTAGTAGTAGGTCTTTTCCAGACTTCTCTTTAGAAGTCCATAGGAAAGATGAGAGCAGCTGTAAACTGTAGCCATGATATGAAGCAAATATCTCTAACCTTGGGTCTTCCTTAAAAGAAAAGTATTCTTTTTCCTGAGGAATGATTGACAGATAACATTACCTACTGGGTATTTGCTCCCTGTGGGTTAGGCATTATGTTAGCCACTTAAAAATACCTTGTTTAGTCTCAAAACAACCCTATGTTGAAATGGGATTATTGCTATTTTATAATTGAAGAAACTGAATCTTGGGTTAAGTAACTAGCAGAAAGGTTGTGGAGCTTATATATGGCAGAGACAGGCTGACAGCCCCCATCCAACCCCTTGAATGCCTAATCAGCTACCTCTGCAGGCTTGTGCTGGGTCAGTCTATAACTTAGCATTATTCTGACTGTGCAGTCATTTGGGGGTTGGGGGTTTGTCCTGTACACTGTAGGATGGTTGACAGCATCCCTGGTTTGTACCTATTAGATTCCAGTAGCACTTCCTCCGTTGTGACAGCCAAAAATGCAAAACTACCCTTGATCAAAAACCATTGCTCTAGCCTTGTGCTAATGCCCTAGTCCAGGCCCTCATCATTGCTTGCCTGGATTAATGCAGTAGTTTTCTTAAGAGTATCCCTGCTTTCAAGTTATCTTCAACCCTCTACACCTCTTTCAGTTTCTCCATTTACCAAAAGTCTAACTTTGTTGGTAACCTAAACTCTTCTGGATGTGTAGTGCCCTTTGAGATCTTTCCTCTGTCTTGTGTCTCAGCTTCATTCTTTTCTTTTTTTTTTTTTAACTTTTTACTGCCCCTGCCCTGACCTCAAGTGCTAGTCCTCTAGCCTAGGAAGCCCTTTCTTTTTCTTCTCTGTTTTCATTTGGCTCTTCCCTATGTGCTCTTTAACACTCAGCTCAGGAGATCCTTTCAGATTGGGTTAAATATCTTGTATTTCTCTTTTATATTCTCACAGAATCTGTCCCTAGCATTTAACACATTGTGGTATAGTCATCTTTTTGTTTCCCCTACTAGTCTTTAAGCTTCATGAGGGCAGGAATCTAATGCCTCTTCCTCACTTGGAGTGAATATTTAGCAACTGTTATGTGTATGAATGGATGTATTGTTTCAGAATTTGAAATCAGGATCAAAGTAATGTTAAGATGCCACAGAAGTTTGCTGCCAAGGGACTTAATAAAATGGCATTTATATTGGTAAATTCATAACATTCCTATGGTTTCGGCTTCAGCCATGTGGACTTGGAAAATTAGTTTTATCTGTAAACTGAGAGTGTGTCCGCAGCCCTTCGGGGACAGTTTCACCCTAATCATGCTTACATAGACCAGAATGTCAACATACTCATATGTAATGAGAGAGGTAACTGCTAGCCATTCTGGAATACTAAAAAGTTACATTGGAAGTTAAATTGTAATGAAAAATTTGCGACATTATATGAGATTAGAGTTGGGAATATTATTAATTTATAAAATGCTTTAAGGGGTATTTAAGGTATTCACTTTAATGTTTCCTAGGTTTGGGAAAACTAGTGAGCTTTTCAAGGGAACTCTTATGCATATGTCCTTTGGGAAAGGCTCTGATCTGGCAAAATGCAGAAGAATGCCTGTGCATCCTGTGCAACTGTTTTTCAGTTTTTCATGGTGATCAGTACCCCTTAAATGCATTTATATGGAATTTATTTTTAAAAGTGGGGGTGTAGGTGTGCGTGTCTGTGCCCATGCACTGATACATTTATAGTTGGATAGTGGAGGGCAGGCAATTAGCAAATTGAATCTCACTTCATCTAGAAGAATAAACAGGTTAAAGTACCAAAGGAGGTCTTTGTAAAGCGTAATGAGAAATGGAGCCTATCAGATTTGAAAGCACTGTAAACCTACAGAATTTTAAAAAACATGAACGATTTCCTATATAAGGTGGATGATTGAACACATACATTATCTCCTCACTGAGATCTTGTTACAGTTTATAAAAAGATATAAAACACATGAACAAATAATGGCAGGGATGTCATCAGGGGACAAAAGAATGTAACAGTATTTCAGAAGATGGGGTAGGTGGATAAGTTGTGCAAAGAAACCAACATGAATAGAGCCGGTTGACCTGGAATAACCCTGGAAAATGAGGCACCAAATGAAAACAACATAAGTTGAAAATCTGTATTTAGGAAACAGTTGACCTCTTATGTAACCAAGATGCCTACCTTATGCCCCCTTCCAGTCCATGCTGAGGCAGGAGACCAGAAGTTTAATTCCCTGGAAAAAGTAAATGGAAAAGGAGCAGAATAAAGGAGCATGGCCTAGTAGAGAGTGGGTGTGAAATGTAGGACAGAAAAGAAGAGGATTAATTAAAAGTCTGCATTGGAAAATGGTCAGGCAGTGACCACCAGTTCACCCTACTCCTACCCCCAACACCTCCCTACCCTGCCTATAAAACTTTTTGCTGGAGTTTGAGTGCCAGCTGTCTGTTTTGCACAGATGCAAGCCATGTTTCTTTAAGTGGGCATGTCAGTATAGCTACATGAGCTTTTTTTTTTTTTTTTTTTAATTAATTAATTTATTTTTGGCTGCATTGGGTCTTTGTTGCTGCGCGCAGGCTTTCTCTAGTTGTGGCGAGCAGGGGCTACTCTTCGTTGCAGTGCGTGGGCTTCTCATTGCGGTGGCTTCTCTTGTTGTGGAACACAGGCTAGAGGTGTGCGGGCTTCAGTAATTTTGGCACGTAGGCTCAGTAGTTGTGGCTCGCGGGCCCTAGAGTGCAGGCTCAGTAGTTGCAGTGCACAGGCTTAGTTGCTCCACGGCATGTGGCATCTTCCTGGACCAGGGCTCGAACCCGTGTCCCCTGCATTGGCAGGTGGATTCTTAACCACTGTGCCCCCAGGGAAGTCCTACACTAGCTTTTAATAATAGTATGGTGGATCTTTTTCTCTTAAATCCTTTCTGTATCTTTATGTTTTAGATGTGTCTCTTATATACAGCATACAGTTAAATTTTCTTTCACTATCCAATCCAATAATCTCTGTCTCTTAACTGGAACTTTTAGAACCTTAAGGATATAAATGCTTTAAATCAACTTATCCCAGATTTGGTAAATGGGATCTCCTTCAGGCTGGCTCCTGTATCCTTTTGACATATCCCTGTCATTTTTTCAGCACCTCCGTTCTGGCATAAGCAGGTATACCAGGCTCATCTTATACTTTTCCTGCCTGGGATCCCTGAAGCCAGTCATTTTTTCCAAGGATTCCTGGTTCCTTTTAGTGGGGAATGGTATGTAGAAATGAAAATCTGGATTCTACCACGGTGATGGTATTGCTTCTAGGCCTTTTTAGAAGTATATGTTTGTACCCTTCTTTGTCTATAGACACAGTTCATGTTTATACATCATGAGTATTTGCTGGTACTTTTCAGTTTCCAAGCAACACTAGGTATAGAGTACAAGGTTGGCATATAGCTTTCAATACATGGAAGATATCATTCCAGTGGCTTCTAGCTTCTGTTGAGACCTTAGCTCTTTTAACTGTTGCTTCTTTAAGTAATCAGTTTTGTTTTTAAGATTTTTCACTTTGTAGTTTTTTCAGGTTCAATATTATGTCTAGTTGTGATTTTTTCTTTTTAAAAACTATACAGTTGGGGCTTCCCTGGTGGCGCAGTGGTTGAGAGTCCGCCTGCCGATGCAGGGGACGCGGGTTCGTGTCCCGGTCCGGGAGGATCCCACATGCTGCGTAGCGGCTGGGCCCGTGAGCCGTGGCCACTGAGCCTGCGTGTCCGGAGCCTGTACTCCGCAACGGGAGAGGCCACAACAGTGAGAGGCCTGCGTACCGCAAAAAACAGCAACAACAAAAAATTATACAGTTTATTGGGCTACCTGAGTCTGTAAATTTTTTCATCAGTTCTGAAAAGTCTTAGCTTAAAAAAGGGTCTCCACTTGCCAATATGAGACAGGCATAGCATCAAAATAAGTAATAACACGTATTATTTCTATTATTTCATAAATCTCCTCTCCCTCATTCTTTTTCTCTCCTGGAAATGCAGTCAAATGTATTTTAGACCTTCTCGCTCTAGCTTTCACTTCTCTTTACTTGCTATTTTTTTGTCTCTCTGTTTTGCATTCTGGATAATTTATTCTGACCTGTCCTCCCATTCACAAATTCTCTCTTTCACTGTGTCTAATATCTATTTTATTTCTATTAGGTGGGTTTTTTTTGTTTGTTTGTTTGTTTGTGTGTTTTGGTCTATGTCATTTAAGAATCTTCTATTCTCTGAATATATTTTCAAGATAGTCTTTTATTTCTTTATATAGCCAGTGCCAGGTATTTGCTAGGTGCTTGGTAAACATCATTTAAAGAATGAGCGACCAGGTAATAAATGTGAAAAACCTCTCAGCCTCAAGGAAATGCAGATTAAATCGTGTCTGGCCTATCATTTTCCTCTTGCCAAATTAGCAAATACTTAGTTTAATAAAAATACTTATTGTTTTTTTTCTTTTTAAGTTAGATTTGGGAGGGGTATAGTTGACATATAATAAATTCACCCTTTCTTTTTTAAGTGTACAGTTTGGTGCATTTTGAAAGCTGGATAATCATGTAACTGTTACCTCTGTCAAGATAGGGAATATTTCTGTCGTCCCCAGAAGGTCTCTTGTGCCGCTTTGTAGTCAGTTCTCTCATCCTTAATACCTGGCAGTTCTCTGTTTTATGTTACTATAGTTCTCCCTTTTCCAGAATACCATATAAATAGAATCATACAGTAAGTTGCTTTTTGTGTCTGGCTTTCTTCGCTTAGCATAATGCTTTTGAAATTCATCCATTTTGTTGCATATACCAGTAGCTTTTTTTCTTTTTTATTGCTGAGTAATATTTCATTGTATGGATATACTACATTGTTTATTCTTTCACTGGTTGATGGACATATGGGTTGTTCCCAAATTATTATGATTATGAGTAAAGTTGCTATAAACACTTGAGTACAAATCTTGTAGCCACAAGTTTTCATTTCTCTTGGATAAGTACCTACTGGTGGAATTACTGGGTCATATGTGGTGCATGTATGTAAAACTTTACAGGAAACTGCCAACCAGTTTTCCAGAGCGACTGTACCATTGCATTCCCACCACTTTCTAAGTAAGGTGTTAAAACAAGTACTTACCATTGCAATTGTAAGTGAAAACTGTTATATCTCCTTTGGAAAGCATTTTGGCAGTTTGAATCAAGTCAGTAAAAATGTTTATTCTCTTTGTTTTATTTTATTTATTTATTTAATAAATTTAGTTTTGGCTGTGTTGGGTCTTCGTTGCTACGCGTGGGCTTTCTCTAGTTGTGGTGAGCGGGGGCTACTCTTCATTGCAGTGCACATGCTTCTCATTGCAGTGGCCTCTCTTGTTGCAGAGCACGGGCTCTAGGCACGTGGGCTTCAGTAGTTGTGGCACGCAGGCTCAGTAGTTGTGGCTTACGAACTCTAGAGTGCAAGCTCAGTAGTTGTGGCGCATTGTCTTAGTTGCTCCGCGGCCTGTGTGATCTTCCCAGACCAGGGATCTAACCGTGTCCCCTGCATTGGCAGGAGGATTCTTAACTGCTGCGCCCCCAGGGAAGCCCTGTGTATTCTCTTTGACCTGGAAATCTCACTTCAAGGAGTGCCTTTGTAAGGGAGAATCTGAAATATACACAGAGCTATTTGTTGAAGTACCATTTGTGATAGGAGACTGAAAAATACAGCACAATTGTAATGGCTGTCTTTGGGTGATAAAGTTACAGATGCTTAACTGTACATTCAGTGCTATGCTGGGCATTATGGTGGATTCAAAAGAAACTTAAGACATATAGCTTGTAATGGAATAAAACATAAGTACAAGTAAAATCTGGCCTAGAAATGTGCTTATGTAGATATAATAAAACAATATTGTTGGAGGTTCTTAATAGAGAAGGAACAGCATATGCTTTAGAGCTGGAAGGACTTTGCTATGAGGCTCTGCGTTCTTTAATAAAAGGCTTCGAAAGCTTTGAGATGATCTTGGATACAATAGGTGCTCAGTAAATGGTAGCATCTTTCATTTTTACTAGTACTAATCCAGCTAAAAGGAATTGAAGCTTGATAGAGTGAGTAGTTTGTTGGGGAGTCATTGTTATCTTTTGAAAAGAGCACTAATATATAAATTATAGTTATTTTTTTCTAGTGGTTTATGTACAATAAAAAAGAGAAGAAGAAAAACCTTTTAACCCTAAGTAAGTGTATTCCACAGAGTGGTGAGCAATGTGGGAGCAGAAACTTTGTCTTATTTGTTACTTCTATCTCTTGTGATTATTAGCACATGGTATGAGCCGTGGGGATGGGGTGTGGGTGGTGAGTTGGTCTCAGGATTTATAATTAACCCAGTGAAAGGTGCAGAGACGATTGTCTAGATTAATCCTTTAGTATAACTTTGGAATGATAATGTTACCTGGATAAAGCTGATAGATTGGGCAAAATGTGAGACTAAAAGATGGGAAACTTTGGTTTGAGTCAGATGATAGTTCCTTGGATATCTGGAGTGAGAGAATAGTAAAGGGGGAATGTCATTTTAAGAAGTTGTAATAGCTTTGATGAATTTAGTGCCTACTATGTGCCAGGTGTGTTATCTCACGTTAAAGTCACGTTACAGATGGGGCAGAGTTAGTGACTTGTTCATAGGCACACAATTAGTTGGTGTTAGAGCTGGGATATGAACTGTGCTCTTAAAAAGCCAGCACAAGGCGGTCAAGTGGTTAGGACTCAGTGCTTTCACTGCGGTAGCCCGTGTTCAATCCCTGGTCAGGGAACTAAGATCCTGCAAGCCACGAGGTGCTGCCAAAAAAGAAGGGGGAAAAAAAAAAAAAGCCAGCTCTCGTATCACCTTTTCCTTCTAGGAAGCCCAGCCTATAACTCTCCAACCCCCCTTACCCCCGCATTTTTCTTTCCCAGTCTGGCTTGAGGACTCTTCTCTGTTTTCATGTGACACTCAGTTTGTAACTGCAGTTTTGCATTTACTTATGGAATTATAATTACAGTATACCCTTGCATTTTGGGGACTAGGCATTCTGTGATTCAGCTACTCCTTCAGGACCTTAAGAGTTACAGGTGTAAGGCCCATGATGTGGAGAATCACAGTGCAAGGCGGTTATACCAGAGGGTCTCGCTCCGCATGAATGTAGGCCCAGCACTCAAATGGCAGTTGCTTGGCCAAAGTTTCAGTGGTCTGGATACTTGTCCTTGGCAAAGGTAATGGTTCTTTACCTCTCCTTTTTACGTTTCATCCTCTACCCAACTTATTTCTCAACTTGGAGTTCAGTTTAAACGGCTACTAGTGCATGTTTATATTTAAGTAGTTCATTCATAGTATCTTTAAACCATAGGTCCTCTGCTATACCACTTTGAAAATTTGGCAAATGAACTTTCCATAGAATTGAGCTATGAGGATATAAAAAACGTTGTCCTGCAGTATGGATTCCAGGTAGAGGTAAGGATGGAATGAAGTATTGCCAAAATTTAACTTCCAAAGCACTTAAACAGGAATGGTGATGTTATGGCCGTTACTGGCTTTACCTCTTTGTTTTCTCACCCATAAAGTGAAAATAATAATACTTAGCTTTTAGAGCTATAAGGATTTGAGATAATATGTATGTAAGTGGAAAACTGTAATCTCTGGTGTAATCACCTTTCGGTAAGTGGTAGCTGACCATTATAATATTGGCCTTTGTAGACTGAAAAGTGCCAGGTAGACAGGGTGGGAGGGCAGGTGTAAGAGGGATATTGTTAACTGTATGTACTTTTGTACTGTTCAGTCTTTCCTTATCATGTGATTATAAGGTTTCATGATACTTTGACGATTGTGTTTTAGTTGTATGTTTATTTAGAAGCATTTGATTCAGTTAAAAAGTAAATAACAGGTTTGTTCTTAAAGATAAAGAAAAGCAACACATTATAGTCGTTTAGAGTTCAAGCTCTGGAATTAGACTTCTTGAATGTGAATTCTAGTTCCACCACTTATTAGTGGTGTGACCTTGAGCAAAACTGTTGTTGGTAAAGTGGGATTACTAATAGTGCCAATCTTAGGGGGTACTTGTAATAAATGAATTAATATACAGAATATGTTTAAAATAGCACCATGGTTGTCATCATCATCATCATGATAATTGTTTGCATTTCAGGTGGAAAAAGAATCTGTCTTGTCAACATATACTGTGAATGATCTCTCCATGATGAAGTACTACTATGAATGTGTCTTGTTTGTGGTCCGTAAACCACAATAACGGTCTCAAGTGGTATCACAAGGAAAAAAGTTTAATAATAGCAGATGCTGAAATAAACAACTCAAAGTCAACTGTTACAGTGACAGGACACAATCTCAAGTGGTATCACAAGGAAAAAAGTTTAATAATAGCAGATGCTGAAATAAACAACTCAAAGTCAACTATCACAATGACAGGACACAACCTCAAGTCAGTGGTGCCTTCTTATTCCTAACAAAATTAAGAAATAGCGTCTATTTTCTTAATATGTCTATCGCTTTTTCAGAAACATACTATGCCATGCATATTTGTACTACACAAGTAAAAATGGAGGAAATGTCTTCAAGTATACATTTTCCTTGAAGCCCAGAATTATCTTTCAGTAGAAAAAACTTTATCTCCAGTGTCTTCATGAAGCTGTCCATTGCAAGTCTGCCATATGAATGACTAATAGTATTGAAGTCCATAATAATCTCCTTTTTTGTTCTTTTGTATGCATTGCACATGTTATTTTTGAAAAAGTCTAAGGATCCTCTGTCACTTTCAACATCTGGAATTGGGAATTTTGTTTACTTTGGACCTAAGGAATCTATACATAAAATGTGCATCTATTCCTTTATCATTCATATTATTTGATTTTATTTTCTAGCTCAGCTGACTTTATAGTTAGCGTCAAACATTTAATTTTTATGAAATGCTGAATTCATAGGATCACAGGCCAGTAAAATGCATTTTAAATAACTGAGAAATTAAGTCTTTTGGACACACTAAATTGAACGCTTTTTGAAAGCATACTCATCATGGATCACTCTGAAATGTATGAGATCTCAACATTCTAAGTGAGGCACAAAAGCCTTTATTAAAGGTACTGCTCGGAAACTGGGACATAAGAATAAAATCTGCCCATTTGAAATGTATGATTTCAAACTATAAATGAATACAGAGTTTGTCAGTGAGATGTTTACAATAATGTCTTTTTTTTAGGTTACATGAATTACAAAAGCAAGCACTTTTTGTTCCGTTAAAACAATTATATACTAGTAAAAACTGTCATGATAGTATTAATGTGGAGAAATTTTGATTATGAAATTTAGGGATAAATTACTGCCCATGGTCTGTGTCTTTAATATTGTAAGAAGCAGCCATTAATATAATTTCAGGTTAATACCAATTTTGTTCCCTGATAGCTGTAGCTAAAACAGTGTATATGCTGCTTTAAATTTCTACCTCTAGCGGATCTTTATTGGAGGGAGTTTTCCTTTGTATTTTTTTAATGTTTATTATCCTGTTTTCCAGTAGCTTGATAAGTAGAGATGACTAATTTAACCTTTTCTTGGAGAAAAGGAAGTAATATTGAATATTTTCACAGATGATTGTGATGATATTAAGTGACCTCTGTGGCAATTTGGATTGGATAGACTTAATCTCAATAATGTGCTGGTAGCATAAATGTCATGTTTTCATAGGAAAACTTACTTAGAAATGTTTAGACCTTTACTGTCAGTTAGGTGCGGGGGAGTCACTACGCGATTTGGCATCTTACCAGTAGGACCTTTTCTGCATACACTACAGGAGCTCCTGTGGCCTTTATGCCCATGATGCAGTGAAGGATTCCATGAAGTTAATTTGATTTGTCAAGTTATGGACACGTGTATGTAACCTGTTGAGTGTTTCTGAAAAACTGTTTCTCTTTTTTGTGTTCCTCGATACTTGGCAGATATTCACTTAGTGGGAATTCTCCTTACCTACCACATGGATGAACTTGAAATTAATTGCAAGGGGAAAAAGCCCCCAAATTTATTATTTTCTTTTAAAGAAAGAAACTTAAAAGGAGCATAAGTATTTTTAAAAAGCCATTGAAAGGAAAGGAATCATGCTGTTTGTAATTTAGAAATGCTTTTTATTCACTGATTAATACTCACTTTTTTACAACTTGTATCAAAACAAACGATCTTGGTTTTCTCACAGAGGGAGAAACAGGTTGACACCAATGGGTTGGCATTATTACTTAAAATTTTTGCTATCAGGTTTTATTCTTTAATAATGTTACTTATATTTCTAAATTATAGCTTATATTTTAGTTAATTCTGAAATCATTTCATTTGTTTCTAATTTCTCCCTCATATTATGAATACTGTTTTTTAAACGTACTTCACAAATTTGCATCACTCTTTTTCTTATAGCTTTTGTAGTTAATATATTCTAAACTTGAAAATTGTGGTATCAATCAATAATAGAGGTGTCACTGGAGGATTTAATTTTGTATTTCTTATGTGTATAAATAGCTACTAAAGTGTGTAAGCCTTAAAGTTTAAAACATTTTTCTTAACTAACTCTGTACACAAATGTTTTCATTCATTTTCATCAAGTGGGAGGAGATAGGTCACTGTGCTTGCTTTTGTTGTTTTTTTATTAAATTTACATAATCTGAAGCAATGCAGGCTAGGGTATATTAATCAAGTGAGCAAGATGGGATATGTAAAATATAAAGAGAAGCTGTATAAATCACAGTATAAAATTATGAAGTTTGGGAACTGTAAAATGTACTGTATTTATATGTAACTCTCATTCTAAAAGTTGTCACAAAGGCTTAATCGGAAGCTTCATGTCTGCATGAAATTTCCTATATTTTTAATGTGTATGATGGACTTAATTTTTCTTGAATATTAAAGTCTGCCAATTGCTATGAAACAGTATGTGCTTGGTTGTTTCCATCTAAATTACTCATAACCGTAGACATGGGAATTTTCATTGAACACATAATACTTTTGAACCCTTGGATTAGTCTATTTTTATATGCTTCTCATATGATTACTTGGTTTCTGAGTATGCTGGGCCTTATACTAATTAATCTTGGTCTTTGGTTTTGTTAAATAATCAACCAAGAATTGTAAAGGAACCAGTAGAAGAAAATTCCAGGACCAGCCATTAGTAGGATGAGCACTTAACTTGCACTTAGATACTTTTCCTGAATTATTTGTGATCTTGGGCAAGGTGCTCCGAGTTTGTTTCCTCATCTATAAGACAGGATTGATACCACTTATTTCAGTGGGTTTTTATGAGGTCGTATGTGCTCTCTGTGAAATATTATACAGGCGTACCTCATTTTATTGTGCTTTGCAAATAGTGCATTTTTTACAAATTGAAGGTTTGTGATAACCCTTGTGTTGAGCAAGTCTGTCGGCACCATTTTGCCAACAGTATTTGCTCATTTCGTGTCTTTGTGTCACATTTTGGTAATTCTTGCAATATTTCAAACTTTTCCATTATTGTATTTGTTGTGGTCATCTGTGAACAGTGATCTTTGATGTTACCATTGCAAAGAGATTATGACTTGCTGAAGGTTTAGATGATGATGGTATTTTTAGCAATAGGTATCTTTAAATTAAGGTATGTACATTTTTTAAAGACATAGTGCTACTGCACACTTAATAAACGACAGTATAAACATAACTTTCAGATGTCCTGGGAAACCAGAATATTTGTGTGACTCAGTTTATTGTGATATTAGCTTTATTGCAATGGTCTGGAACCAAGTCTGCAATGTCTCTGAGGTATGCCTGTATGTGAATATGTGAAAGCATATGGTGGACAAGTAAATGTGATTTCAATCTGTGTTGACTGTTGTATAGTGATAGAAAAAGCTGAAGATTGGTAACAGGACATTACTTTTAATATTTATGGTGACGCTTTGAAAAAAGTCTCAGTGCAATCTTAGGGGAAAAAAATCAAAGATGACAGGTATAAGTATAGATTCCAAAAGCTTGGTGGGAAGTGTAAAGAAATATAATAGTAGGTAATGGGACAGAGGGCATAAGTAAAATTTAATGGAGGGTTACCCTCATTTTCACAAACATACTAGTAGTACATGCCTCATATATATGTTTATTTCTCTTCAGTAGCTGTTTAGAAGTGGGATCATTGGGTGTGTATGTGCACTTTCAGTCAAATTGCCTTTCAAGAAGACTACCAATTTACATTCCATCCAGCGTTTGAGAATAACTTTGCATCCATTCCTGGCCAGTACTAGATATTGCTAAGCTTTCCATATTTTGTCAATGTAAGTATCTAATTTTAATATTTATTCTTTTAACTACGAGGGAGGCTGAGCAATTTGCATAAGTTTAAGGGACAAAGAGAGGTGTCTTTAATCTGCCAGTCTGTAGGCTCTCACCTGGCAGACCAGACCCAAAAGTTAGTAAAAACGTAGTGAGGTTCATTAAGCGGAGGATTGGCCAGAGTCGTGAGGACTGTTCTGAGTTCTGGCCTCTGAAGACTGACCACATCTGCTTTTGGTTTTACGTAGCTGGCACTGAGGCTGACCAGCAGCAGCCCATTGGACCCCATTTGTTGGATCTGTGGTTTGATATTTTGTTAATATTTCTGTAATGTTCTTTTCTGTTATCTCTTCAAATATTTCTTCTGCCCTGCTGTCTCTTGCTTCTTGCTTTTGGGGCTTCTATTACATGTACATCAGATTGTCTTGTCATTGTCCCACAACTCCTGGATGCTCTGCTTTTGGTGGTTTCTTAGTTTTTGTTTTGTTTTTTACACTTAAAAAAAAATTTTTTTCCATGTGTTTCAAACTGAATAGTTTCTTTTTACCTATCTTCAAGTTCCTTGAGTCTTTCCTCATCTTTGTCCATTCTACTAATGAAACTGTTGAAAGAAATTTTATCTCTGATATTATGTTTTTTATTTCTAGCATTTCCATTTATCTCTTTTTGTAGTTTTCATCTCTGCTGAAATTCCCTATCAGTGCATGTTGTCCACCTTTTCTACTGTATCCTTTAATAAATTATAGATATTTTAGTCCCTAACTGATAATCCCAATAGCTGGGTCAACTCTGAGTCTAGTTCCATTAATTGCTTCATCTGCTGACTAGGGCTTTTTTTTTTTTTTTTTTTTTTTTCCCCCTGAGTCTCATAATATTGAATTCCACTTACTGTGTAGAAAAAAACAGAACCTGAGGTAAACAGTATTTATGCCTGGGTGTAAATTTATGCCTCTCAGGCAGGCA